TTGAACAGTCAAACAAATGGTTGAAAACTTAGCATATTAGGCTTTTATTATATAGAATTCAATGTGAATTCAATGTGAAGGGAAGGTTTCTAAATGAGTATGATATGTATGTATTATACTAAAGTTGTTGAAATAGGAGAAGTGTTCAAGCTGGAGTTTATGAGACAGATATTATTGAGAGATGATTTCGGTAAATAGCTGTTCTATTTCTAATGGATTACTAAGATCAAAACATTCTCTTTCATTTTATTTGATCATCTTGCTCGTTTATCCTGGCTGAAAAAAAATTAATACGTAAGTACTCTCTCCATGATCAGAGAAGAAACTTTCAGCTCTCGGTACACATATATTAGATTATATTTATTTACTCCATAATTTAAGAAAGCAATATAGGTCCCCTAGATTAGATCTTTCTTGTCAGTAAAAAAAACACCTGTTCCAAAAGCACTGCCTTACACCCTTGTTGCTGCTAGTCATTAACTAAACAACTTAACCTACTGGTTATTATTCCCTAAACACCCTGTGCAATGTGCCTGGTAGTTTACTAAGAAAATAAATCATTTCTCAATTGGACTCGTCATTTCAGTAGCATAAATTTCTAACCCATAATAAAACAACACTTTTGATTCTATGAAAGTAGAATCAGTTTCTACTTTGTTTTAATGACTGAAAAGATAGAAGAGCATCTGCTGGAGATCCTAAATTTGATGTCCATGAATTTTAACTGAGAGGCACATCAATTATATCCTGGGAACAATGACTGAGTGTCTTTGACTTCCTGTGTCTGATTCCCTGTAACATCACCACCTTTGCTCTATCTGTGGGATTCAGTCAGTTTCAATGCCTTCAACTGTAGAGGAGCACAGCTGGAGAGAAATTGCTATGATGATGGAAATGTCCTGTATATATATGTCCAATATAGTTGCCAGCAATCACTATGGCCAATGGATCCCTGAAATCAGAATGGAAAAGAATCAACTAGACATGGCAATTGAGAGGTCATTCTTAATATTGGGCAGAGAAAGTCTAAGGAGTTAATGGGGGATAAATGCTTATTATAGTAGGTTAAGGAGCAAATGGGAGTTGAGGAAGTAGAGCCAGCACGTGTACTGGGGAGATGAGGTAGAGTAGAATATGAACATACCAGAGCTCTATTCCAAAAACCATTGTTCTGGCAGCCATGTGAAAAATGGATTGAGTAGGGAAAAATTAGAGTTTGTGTTTAGTTTTTCTTGATAAAAAAAAAAAATGAGTTAAGCTGAGGTTTTCTAACATTTAGTGAAGGCAAGTGGTAATGTAAGAATAAATTCCAGTTTCCTAGGAAAAATGGAAATATTTATTGTCCTTGATGGTGTGACTATTACCCAAGAATAAACAAAATGGTTAGTTGTAAGACTTGAAACATTTCATTTTCCTCTGAAATTCTCTAAGAACCCATGACATTACAAAGATAAGGTACTCTAGCATTTCTTTTCATAAAAAAGTTTGTAAGTCCCTAGTTCTAAGATGAATTTCTCAAAAAAATTATACAATCTATGCTTATATATAATGATACTAATCAAAAGTTGGACTTGGCTGAAATCATAGCATTTTAGAAATGAATGGATGTTTGTTAAAGCGCTTCATTTTAATGGGTAAGGACCAGAGACCTGGAAATAATATATGACTTACATAATTTACCCAAACAAGACTCAAACCCACATCTTGCTGTTTTGAAAAAGAAAAAAAAAAAAAGAAGAAAAAAAAAGATTGGCTAGATGATGCACTGAGATATTTTTGTACTCTATGTATTACAATAAGAGAGAAAATAGGAAATTCCTAACTGTATGCGTCACTGGGGACAGTGAATCTTTTTTTTCTCCCTTCTACAATTAGTACCATTTCCCCTGGACACATTCTTACCATTTGCACTCTACTTACCACAATTTTCACTCATTTTTCAAAAATACTTGGTCATTATCCTGCATGCTAGAAAATTTGACCCAAGGATAAGTCTAACTTCCTTTCAACTCTCCCCAAAGTTTCTTTCCTTACTGACAATAGGAAGATAGACCATAGCTAGTTTGGCTCAGTGGATATAGTGTTGGCTCATGAACTAAAGTAATGGTTCTCTACCTTTCTAATGCCACGACCATGTAATACAGTTCCTCATATTGTGGTGACCCCCAACCATAGAATTATTTTCATTGCTACTTCATAACTGTAATTTTGCTACTGTTATGAATCATAATGTAAATATCTGTGTTTTCCAATGGTCTTAGGCTCTACAGAAGGGTCGTCTAAGACCATGAGAAAACACAGATATTTACATTATGATTCATAACAGTAGCAAAATTACAGTTATGAAGTAGCAATGAAAATAATTCTATGGTTGGGGGTCACCACAACATGAGGAACTGTATTAAAGGGTCTCAGTATTAGAAAGGTTGAAGGGTCTCTAATAGATTTCCAGTCCAGGGCATGTACCTTGTGATTGCAGGCTCAATCTTCAGGGCACATGTGGGAGGCAACCAATCGATGTGTCTCTTTTATGTTGATATTTCTCTCTATGTCTCTGCCCCCTCCTTATCACTTTCTCTAAAAATCAATGGAAAAATATCCTCAGGTGAGGATTAACAGAACAAAAAAAATAGGGAAGATGGTATATTTGTAGGTTAGAGGAAGAAAAGTGGTCTCTAAAGTTTCAATTCTTCAGAGTATTTCAGTATTCAAACACTGAAATCAAGTTTTCAGGATTACATATAGATAGTAGCTAATTTAGATTATGAGATCCTGGTGTGTTCTGTTTTTGTACAAAGAAACTAGGTTCTATACTTTCTGAGCTGAAGTTGTAGGCTGATAATTTAGTCCATGAAAAACCTGGTAATGGTCTAAAACAGTGGTCAGCAAACTCATTAGTCAACAGAGCAGCAAACCATAGTTTGCCAACCACTGGTCTAAAACATAGAAGGCCAACTGTGTGTGTGTGTGTGTGTGTGTGTGTGTGTGTGTGTGTGTGTGTGTGTGTGTGTTAAAGGGCCAGGGAATCTTGCTAGAAGATCCCTCAAAGAGTAAAAGTCAAATATGAATGGTATACATTCCACTTGTGACACACTAGTCCATTTCTGAAAATAATAACACTTTTTCAAAATGAAGTCATTTATATTCTTAGCCACCCTCTGTTGCGTGCACTGAGTAATTTCTTGAGAGCAATGTTTCCTATGGCACATTGCCAAGACTGGCTTTATTTGTTTTTCATTAGGCTTTTCATTATCAGACCTGGATCGTTCTGCCTCTTCCGAGAGCATCAGAGTAGATCAAGCATAGGAGTGGTACTAGGAGCAGGTAGAGTGTTTTTGTCCATTGAATGCTGGTTTTAAATCCCTAGCTATGGCACCATTCTAACGGCTTTCATCTTTCTAAGACCAGTCTTTTCTCCATTTATAATGTAGGCTGATATGAAATTGTTTACATCAATCTATGCTGTCCCTGTCCAGGGAAAGACATTAGTCTCACTTTGCACACACTGGACTGGCCCCTTCTCCTTTATTATCTCAAGGAAAGGCATCATGAATCACCCCTCTTGCCCAAGCCTAGAACCAGTGTGTATTCTGCATTTCTCCATCATTCCATGCATTCACTTGCCAAGTCAAACTTCTTGATAGTTTTCAAGTCCCCTTCCTTCTTTCTATGTCCCATGACCACTACCTTAGTCTAATCCCAATCTCTAGAACAACTACAGTGGCCTCCTTCTGGGCTCCAGGCCCCAGGGTTGCCCTTTCCAATTCATCCTCTTTTGCTTTCAATGTTCATCAATACCCATGGATCTCCTTAAATGGATATTCTATAACTTCTATTCACAGAAGTTTTTGTGTTACAGATGAAAAGGACAGAGTTTGATTTGTCCAGAAATGTAGCTATCTAAGTTCTTGAACTCTCCTATAAATTCCTCAATTTTGCTTACAAACCCCCCCCCCAAAAAAATATGTGTTTATTAATTAGAGGTTTAAAACATCATTGAAATCAAAGAACTTCAGAGCTAGATTGGCCCTTGAAGGCCGTGGAGCTCAATTTCATCATTGTATAGGCAAGGAAACAGAAGCTCAGACACAAAAACTAAATTGATCTTTCTAAATTTGGAATCACATCATATAACTCCTTAAACATTTGCCCAGGGATCCCTGTTATGGGCGAGATGAAGTCTGAATTCTGCCGCATGCCATGCAATGACTGTACGTCTGGCCTCTGCTTGCCTTTGCAGTCTTATCTTTTGCTCCTCTCTTCAACTTACCCCAGAACTCAATGCTTCCAAGGATATTATCCTTTTTAGCCACAGGACATTGCTCATTATTCTTTTTAGCCATTAGACATCATTTCCTCTGAAAACATACCCTGAACCCCTCTGGGCTCCCCAGAACATGTCACTATCACAGCACATTTACATCACTCTGACTGCCTCTGAACAGTCTGTTTCCATCACTGCACTAGAAGAAAAAAATGACAATTATGGGCAGGGACCTGAGTCTTACTCATTGTTCTAGCCCCACATCTTGATGAGTTGTCTGGTAATCACTATTTTAAGGTTAACTCTCACTTTTAACCTCATCTATATAATTTTGCCATCAGCCCTCCTCACAAAATCTGTTTTCCTGGGGGGGAGGATATAAAACTGATTCATTCACATCAAGGTATAAGTCATGGATGGTTCTAAATGGTACCACTCCCTAGAAGCATTTACATTTTTAGGAGGACAAAGTTTTAAGTCACAGGAATGAATCCTCAATGCAGATGTTCCAACCAGAAATAGTAAATCATGAGAGTATTGGTGAGGAGAAGGAAGTTTTCCCAAAACTTTCAACATCGTGGGTGACCCCCTCTAATCCTATCCTCACTGAAACATGATGTTTTTGTCTATAAAATTCAGATCATATGTTGGTTATTTCTCTCTGTGTTACATAAATCATTATTTACCCATAATAAAAAAAAATGCCTGACTTACAACACTTCTGGTTTTGTTTCAGGGAAGCAATGTTATGGAAGATCAGGACTTATTGGAAATTGGGATCCTTAATTCTGGACACAGACAGAGAATTCTACAGGCAATCCAGCTCCTCCCAAAGGTAAGCCATGTTTTGTTCCCCTCACTCCAAGTACAGTCCCAGTGCTTTAAGTCCAGATGTGCAAGGGGTGTCAGTAATTAGGACATTTCCACAGATTGATGCAACTCCCTAAAGGTCTTTAGACTTACCTACAAGGATACAATACACTGGCTAACAGGCAGAGTCAGAGTTTCTCTTCAGTGAGAGTCCTTATATCAGTATAAACATCCACCCAGGCCCCTCAAGTCCAAGAAGATAAGATCAATATTGGATGGAAACAGGGATGTTCCTGGATTAGAAGCCTCATGCTCCATAAGAGGCAATATCTCCTATAATAGCTCCAGAGGTTTAGCCTCCAGGGACAAGGGACCTGCCTAATTACAAGAGTCATCACTTGGCAAAGTCCTGAGCATCGCATCCCCATCAGGTATGTAATCGTTCATGTATGAATCTTCCCAGTCCAGATGCATTTTGTAAGTAGTAGGTTTCTGTTACCTAGCAACAGAGTTGACCTTCTGTGTTCAGATAATGTTTCATAGGAGCCCAAAGCAAGAGGTAAGATCTGAGCATTGGTCTTCAAGATAGATAGTATGTTAATTGCTATGAAAGGAAAAGGCTTTTCACAAGCCAGAGGAACACAGATATGGTCCAGGCAACAAACTGCCAGAGTGTTAGGGGAATGGTGATACTGTATGACTTAAAATTCGATGGGATTTGCACAGCAATGTGAATGTACTTAATGCCCCTAAACTATACACTAAAAAAGAAAAATGGTTAAAGTGGTTAAGTTTGTTATTTCTTTGTTATTTGAACAAAGTTTTGTTATTTTTTTTTTTAGCACAGGTAGAACAATATTTTGTTTTGTTTTGTTTTAAAAAAAAAAAAAAGAAGAAAAAATTCAATGTGATTAAAACAATAGGAGAGTGGAGTAGAGATAAAGCAGAAAAAGTAGTTGGGTCAGTTGGTGCGGGCTAAGGAATTTGAAATTTATTTTATAAGCTCTGGGGAACAGACATGACTAGAATGCTTTAGGCCAGTTCATTCTGGAGGACTACCTGGTAGGAACTAGAAGGAGGGGAAGTTGAAGTTGAGTCATCCAGATGGGAAAAAAAAATGGGGGTGGGATGGGGGAATTTGAGGCAGGGTAGCAGTATGGGATTATATATATTTTAACCATTGTTTCTAAGGAAGGGATCTGGTAATATTTGCCAAATGATAATAAACTGAGTTGCTACTGATAGAAACTTAACACTTTTTCAAATTCAAGGGGAGTCAAGCATACAAAGAAGGATAATCATACAATTTTCTCCACTAAAAGGAAAAAATAAATAAAATAAGGCATCCTTAGAACTAATTCTAGAAGCAATTCTTTACGTGTATTGTTCACCTCACTACTTTTGAATCTTTACTTAAAATATTACTCAGCAAGTTTTCTCCTTATTGTCAGTAAGAGCTTGTGCACTGCTATGCCCTCAACACCTAGACCAGTGCCCAACCCATGGTAGGGACGCAGTAAATGAATGACTCTCCCCTTGTCATAGTGCTGCCCATCCTTTGAAGTTCAACTCACATTGTTCCACATCACTTCCTTTGTGAAATTTCCCCTAAAATGGAGTCACTTCTCTCCACCTTGGTAACTATCACCCTAGTTCAAACCAATCATCTCTTACTGCACTACACTAGATTCTAATCTGTCATCTCTAGGTTAGACTAGTTGAGTCCATTTCTCCTTGGTCCTCTCTAGCCTGGGCAATTCATATATGCCTAATCTCTATTCTAGATACCTTTTTTACCAATTTACAATTAAATTTACACACAGCATCAAGAACAACACTTCTAAAATGTATCATGTCACATGCCATAACCTGCTTAAAATCTCCAATGGTCAGCCCTGACTTGTGTGGTTCAGTTGGTTGAGCATTGTGCCATGTACCAAGACATCACTGGTTGGATTCACAGAGCACATGCCCAGTTGCAGGCTTGATCCCCAATGAGGATGTGGAGGAGGCAGCTAATCAATATTTCAGTCTCTCATCAATGTTTCTCTCTCTCTCTCCATCTCCCTTCCTCTCTCTAAAGTCAATAAAAACATATTTTTTAAAACCTCCAATGGCCTACAAAAGTCAATAGAATCTGGCCCCTTCTCACATCTAAGATCTCAACCCTCACTCTCCCCTTCTCCTGACTCTCATCATATGGTTTATTTTTGTTCAAACACTTTCCAAGCTCATTTTTGCCTCAAGGACTTTCCATATTGGATTCTTCCTAGAAAGCCTTTTCTTCAGATCTTTATTCACTTGCTTCCATACATTATCGAATCTCTACTCAGCCATCACCTCCTCTCAAGGGCCTTCATAATCTCAAAGTCACACTCCTCACTCATTTACACTGCCCTTTGTGTTGTCCTACTTTAGTTTTTTCTTCATAGTACTTATGGCTACCCTAAGTTATATTATTAGTTCATTTTTCTTTCTTATTTTCCACTTCTCCCTGTATTTTCCACTTCTCCCTGAGGATGCAGGTTCCCAAGATCAGGGATCATGACTAACTTATTCCTTTCTATTACTCATTCCCTAGAACAGTGCCTGGCACATAGTAAGTGGCCAAAATATTTGTGGAATAAAGGAATATACTGCCCTCTTTTTCCCCTGAGATTTGATAGTTCTATGCTTGTTCTCTCTGAAGGTACTGATAATATTATTACAAATATGCTTAGGGCACAAACAATGTCACATCCATCCTTGAATTTTCCTCTGTGCTTATACATCCTATATAATAAAGAGCTAATATGCTAATCAGACTGATGTCCAGATGACCTTCTGGACTAAGCCAGGGCTTCAAGGGCCAGCCTGGCCAAGCCCCTTGCATGAATTTTGTGCATTGGACCTCTACTTAAAATAATAAAAGAATAGCCAGATCTTGGTATGGATCAGTCAACATATGAACCAGGAAGTCGCAGTTTGATTCCTTGTCATGGCACATGCTGAGATTGTGGTCTTGATCCCCAATAGGGGATTTGCAGGAGGCAGCCCATCAATGATTCTCTCTCACCATTGATATTTCTATCTCTCTTTCTCTCTGAAATCAATAAAACATTTTTAAAAGAATTGGTTATTTAATGAATGAACATTTTCCTCACATGTTAGTCAAATACAATTTTTTTAAATCAAAAAATATATATAATTTTTTAAAACTCAGTTTTAAAATATATCTGTAAGCTTATCTATACCATTTAATAATAAGAAGCAAAACCACTTGAACTCAGAATTATTTGGAGAATAAATGAAGTGTTTACTTTTAAGACAGAATGTCATTCCCATTAGACAAAACAATATAATAGAAACAATACAAAATTAAACTTCTATCAAGAGGCTGATGCAAAGTGCCTAGTAGGCACCCAGATGAGCAGATAATATATAAAAACTTCCAAATATGTGTTCAGCAGCACAAACAGAATGTTATAATGCTACAAATTGATGCTTTGCTTTCTTAGGTAATGAGCCCAATCTTCAGATGGTTAATAGTGTAATTTTACTGCCAGCACATTCATTTGCATTCACTCTAGCTTTGCACTGCCAGAAAATGGACAAAATGTCTCTTCGTTGTGTTTATGCAATTTGGGTCTTCAGAATATTTGTGTTCTTCATCTGTCAGGAAAAATATTCCGTGATTGCTACCTGAGATCCTCTAATTAGCCTACTGTGTTTTGGAACAAGGGAGATTGTTCCTAAACAGAGGAAAGGTTTTCTAAGTGCGATCTTGACCTGTTAGCACACTTCAAGCCATGTTCTTCATGCTTTATTTGTGTTTGATGTCTCAAGTTTCAAAGACAAAAGCTTATTCCCTTGGTAAGAATGTTTCTTTTTTTAGAATATGCCTTTTTTGTGTTGAAATGTTCACCACCACATGTTCTGAAGTATACTTGATTCATTGGGCACAGAGGATACATTTGATAGATTCTAAGACATCTTTAGAACAATAATCACATCGATTCTCCCTCCACCCATTCTTTCCCTCAGTCTTTTACAGTGTTTAACCTTTCATAGCAGCGCTTAATATCAATGTTCATTCAGCATCCACTTCCTTCACCAACCCCTACCTAGTATTTAGGTCTACAAGTTTCCCTGAACTTCTGAAGATCAAATTTCACCCTTCTCACTTTTAAGAAAGAAAACATGCCAAAAGTTCTTTGAGAAGATGACTTTTGTTACTCTTTTAGAAACTGTAAGCAACATGGGGCTTTTTCTGTTCCTTTGACACAGAGAAATTATCTGATTACTTATTTGCAGTGTATAATTTATCTTTTACCAGATAAGAATTATCTGTGGCAAGGTCTTTGGATAATCCTCTAATATCCTTTTAAAAGGACACAATCTCTTTTGTCCTTTGACAGTTCACCAACAGGAAGTCAGAAATTCAAAGGATATTTATTTTAAAGGTTTGTAGGACTTCATGTCAAGGCCCAGATGTATTTGTTCTCTTAAGGTTTCTCATTCTGAATTGAGAATGTATTTCAGCATATCAGCAACTTTGAGATCACATGCTTACTTCACTTTTCAATATTTCCTTTTCGAATATTCTCCTTTTTCATAATATCTTTTGGAATTATTTAATAGTTATTCTGAATACTTCTTAGCAAGTAGTTGTCTCCTTGCTATCCCCCTTTCTCTTATTTCCACTTGTCTTTCCATCTACTTAGGTCTACTAGTTCCTTTGCTGCCACAGCACACAACCAGCACTAAGGTCACCAGTGACCAGCAGAGCAGGCATTCATAAGCGCCTCTTCACCTTCACTTGACTCTGGCTTTGGTAGATACTGATACTCTTAATTGTCTTCTTTTAGCTTCCCCGATACCTGATTATCTTCCTGCCTCTCTGACGTCCTCTCCTTGCCTGTTCATTCTCCTCAGTGAAATGTTGCTTAAACTCAAAAATATCTGATTACTACTGAATGGTGTCATCATAGGATTCTTGATCATTGTACAGTTTTTGGTATTCACTCTTTTGTTCATTGCTTCTCT